TTTTTGGCATACTTAATGTCAATTGGGAAAGCCACAGTAAATACTGAAAAAGCAGAATATCCTCAGAAACTCCTGCAGAACTAAACAAGCAACCAGATTAGAGTTCTTTCTTAGCAACAAGTAGGTAAGAAATATAATCAGCTTTATTTTTAAAATAGCATTTTGTAATAAATAGTTGCTTTCAATTATTAAATGATACCAAAGTCCCAAATATTAAAAGTACCAGTGTTACAATGATACTTAAAAACGATAAATGACTTATATGAACAAAAATTATACTGCTTTCACAGTGGTTTGAGGTACAGTCACAAAACTTTAAACTAGATACTAAGCAAACAATTCTCAGCTTTTAAAGAAGGAAATGGTGCACCACATGGGGCAGCTAAAGAAACATTCCTTACGAGTCAAGGAAAGTTGCAAAGAAGAGTGGAAAGAGCAGTAACCAGAGACCCAGCTTTGGCCTAAGCAGCCCCCGAACCAGAGGATTTGGGGAAAGCCTCGGAGCCCTAGCTTCCTGCTCTGTGTTACTGGAGCAGCTCTGTCTAGATCAATGCAGTGGATTTACTCCAAGGGAAACGCAAAGCCCAATTTCTTAGATGCACAAAGTTTTACACCTGAAACAAACACACAGAGACTAATAAACACAACAAACCACAGGAATGATTTTTCAAATGTATATAGATACTATTAAGATGAATGAAAAGAGAACTCACAGTAGCTGTTGGTCATGCATTTTTAAACCAAAGGATGCTAAAGACATGACCACCACAAATGGTAATAAGAAAACAAAATTTACTGATACTAAAAAGAGTTCTCAAACCATACTGTTAACACCACTGTCCATTTATTCAGGGTTAAGGGCCAGCCTGTAAAACTCTCAGTGGCAGAAGCCTTCGACTCCACCCAGTGAACAAGCAGCAATGTTAGCTCAGGAACTCTCCAGTACAGCAGAGGCAAAGGCGGGCATCAGGCAGGGAGCACCCGGGCAGCAGAGCCGTCAGCGTGAGAGCAATGAAGACTGCACAGGCCAGGGGGCGTTGCGAGTTAAACCTCAGTCCTGCCACTCACTAAAAGCAAGATTTTATCCAAATGTAAACCTCAAGTGTTCTCCTCTGCAAAATGAAGTTAAATACCACGGACTGTTGTGATTAAATGGGTTAAACTATGTGAAGAGAGGAGCAGAGTTCCTGGGCACAAAGTACATACTCAGCGTTAGTTTACTTCCTTAATAAACAGCTTGCTGATTTGAGATTTTAAATGACCCATCGATTCTTAATATTAGTTTTCAGATTTTTTCAACATTTTAGGAATCTACTGATTAGCACCCATAGTTGAAAAGTATACTCTCTCTAGAAAACTGCAGATATATACATAAGACTTTGCAAGCAATTTCAGAAAGTTCATAGACCCTCTTAAACTCAAGGAGACCACCTAGGGGCCTAGAAAATCTGGAAAATTAATTATTTAAAACTTGAATTTGTATGACACAAGTCTATATGATAACAGATAATGTTAAATGAATGCTTATTATATGCTTCATATCATGCTAAGCAATTTAAGTAATTATTTCATTAATCTCTGCAACAACCCTAAGGTAAATAGTAGTATTATACCCATTTTATAAGTGAGAAAACTAAGGGTTAGAAAGGTTAACTTGTCCTATGTTACACAGTAACATGTCAAGAGAAAAAAAAAATGCTCTCTAAAGGATAATGCACCAAAAACAAAACTAGTAGTTAAAAAAAATGACTGAAATAAAATAGCTCAACCCACTATTACAGTAGTACTGTCTTATTTATATATGTCAGCCACTCAACAGAGGTCTCAAACACACAAAAAGATATGACTGAAAAATAAAAACGCAGGGCCAGTACAGTGACATAGCAGTTAAGTTCACGCACTCTGCTTTGGCAGCCAGACGTTCACAGGTTCAGATCCCAGGCACAGACCTATGGATCGCTTGTCAAGCCGTGCTGTGGCAGGCGTCCCACATATAAAATAAAGGACGATGGACACAGATGTTAGCTCAGGGCCAATCTTCCTCAGCAAAAATTAAAATTAAAATAAATAAAAATTAAAATGCTAAATAGCTAAATATCCTAACCAGCCCTTGATTTCCTAGCAAGGAAGAGGATAGGTGCAACTCACAAGAACTTCAGCCTGCAGGGCCGCAACCACGACAAGGGAAGTGAGTGTGCATTTTAAGTCCCCTTAAATGGCTGCACCTTTTCTGCCTTGGATAGAGTTGCTGTTATACCATTTAAATCACCTGATACTGGGAGCAGCTGCGGGTGGGACGATCATCTCTCCCAGTCTAGGGAGGATCTGGACAATGTTTTCCTTGCCTTCTCACCTCCCTAACTACCTTGAATTACCAGTAAACACAGAACTTTTTGTTAGAAAACATCCAAGCTAATGGATTCTCAGTAAAAATGTTGCCTTTATAGGACAAATACTTTAAAAATTAACAGGTAAGTTAAAAATTTACAAAATTAAATCCTATGAGTTGATGCCAACATTAGTGTAGAAACACAGATCACATACACCTCAACACGCAATGAAAGTTAAATTATGATGCAATCAATGTTATCCTATAAAAACTAAATTAACAAAAATAGTCTATTAGGGAAGACATCTGGTGCATCATGGCAAGAAATGTTAATGATATTGTCTGCAACCATGTAATCAATTTTTTCTCCCAGCAGCTCTCTCATTACGCTGTATTAGATCTGTGTGCATGCAGAATTTATGAGAGCTCCACACATGGAGGGGAGCGCTGCCAACTGGATCCAATTCAGATCCAGCACAAATGACTTTGGCAGCATGAAGCGTTGTTAAAGAACAATCAATACAGTTAGCTTTATGCAGCATCATTTTGACTGAAAGAAGATTTATTATCTTATTATAGAATCTTCTCAAACCTACATATGATGGTATTTGAGTGCACCACCAATTATGAACTTATTTAAATCCCCAGTGGATACAATACTTTTACTGCTAAAAAAATAACTACTAGTTATTACTAATGCTAAAATAAAATTTACTAAAAATCAATGTTATTACGGGCAAAATTTAAAATCTATTCAGCAAATCCTGGTTAGTGAGTAGTATGGTAAATGAAACAGTCTAATGATGACACCCACACTGATTAGAGAATAAAGTAAGAAAATATTGGCCTGAAAGATAAAATCATTTCTTAGATATGTATGGAAACAAGATAGTAACTGGTAAAGGCTGATGCTTTTGAAGTAGGTAGTCAAGTTGGGGCTCTAATTTGTCCCTTAAAATGTCAATATATCTCTTTAGGGATTAAAATTATACTTTTATCCACAACAGTGGGTTTTATAGTCCATTGCGAATGGCTATTATATCAAGAATTACAAGGCTACCATAATGTGAACCTTTTGTCTAGTCTAATCCTTGATAAATTATACCTGAGACTATCTAAACACGAAACTGTTGTTGTGACAATTATTCCTGATTTTGTTACAATTACTAATATTTCATCTCCATTGTCTCAGTCCTCTTCATTTTATGCATGGATGACAGCCTTAGCCACCTAACTGGAACTTTCACAGTCTTTCCCCACTCCACACCGCATAGTGCTACTCAGTGAATCTTCTTCAATAGTGATTTGCAAACCGGCTTGTCTGGAATAAAAGAGCCTACAAAGGCTCTCTTCTGCCTATTACATAAAATCATGGCTTGTCTAACCTCTAAGATCCTCTTTTATCAGGCCCCATTTTATATCCCCACCTCTGCTTCCCCAGACCCACTAACCTGCACTCTTCATTGACGTCCTGCGGTCATCTTCTCACAACTCCCAGCTTCACCAGGCTCACTGCCTAGGGTTGCTTATAGGGATAGGCTGATATGGGGCAGGCTAACACATACACCTGGAAGCCTCCACCAATCTGCCCGTCCACATGTTATTGATGTATCAAAAGCATACCCAGCTCCTCGAAACCTACCTACCTTCACAAAACTTTCCTAAGTGCTTTAGCCCTTTTGGAGCACTCTCTTTTCTTAATCTCAAGATATTAATATTCTACACTACAACTGAACAATTCATTATATATTGCCAGTATCTCGTATTGTGTGGGCACGTGTGAAGGCTATTCTCTTATATTATTTTCTAATTGAGTATGAGTTTGAGTCTCAGAGTCAGATTACACCAAACAAGAGAAAGATAGGTCTTAAACTTCTTCAGTGATTAACAGCAGTTGATGAGAACAATAAATACTTGTCTTTCAGAAAACTTGACCGTTAAATCCTCATAAAGGAAAACAAGGAAGACAGGTGTATACACAGCTTTCAGAAAAGGTGAGATACATGACACAAAAATAACCCTCGTGGATCACTAATACTGGGTCCTGTGTTCTAAAGGATAAAGCACTAAAGACATTTCCTCCTGCTGCATCTCACACACATCCCACATTACCCCCAGGTAACAGAGGAATTACCAGGGTACAGCTGAGACCACTATATCTAAACCCCAACCCAAGCCTTTCAAAGTGTTTATTCTATATCTAGCATTGGAGAAAAGCCTAGCTAGTTCTGAGCAATACTCTATAAAACATCACCTGAGAGGACAGCACCCAAAATAGTTTAGATGTGTGGGCCATGAGTCCCAATGATCCTGGGTAAATGCACATTCCACACTTGGACTCAAACTTACCCCCTTTTTTCCCCCATTTCAGTTGCCAACATCCATACTCGCTGCTGATTGCCAGCTCCTGCTCCTTGCAGCAGCCCAGCATGCTCTCTGCTGGTGCCAAAATACCCTATACCACCAAACCCCACCAACTTCTGGAACTGTCCTAGAGGGGTAAGGCAAGTCCCGTATTTTGCTTCCTCTGTGCATGTACTTGTTACTCCTTTAAAAACACACACAATACAGCACATTTTTTAAGGGGCTATGGGGAGGGAGGTAATATTCCTATTTTATACCCTAAGGGATATAAAATATTGATAGCTTTTAAAAACGGGATTCTCCTTACCCCTACAGGCCCTCTCCCGGCTTCAGAAAGATGTTGTGGTGGCTGTGATGCCACCGGCAGAGAGCATGCTGGGGGGTCACACAAAGCAGGAGTTGGAGATCTGCAACAGGCCTGGGAGTTGTGGACCTAAAAAAGAAAACAGTTTTAAGTTAACATGCCCAATGTCCCCTCATACCCTGGTTACTAGGGGCACTCAGCACACAAGCAAGTATCTGCACAAATCCTTTAGCAGATGGTCTCTGAAATCTCAGAGAATTTGTTCTACCACTAAAGTTAACCTTTCTGCATTTATCAAAGCTGTTTCTTTATTTCAGTGTGGATAAACATATGACCCTCTGGCTCCACACTTTAATCTGGGTCCTGTCATAAAGCAGTATGGTGTGTGCCCCTCAAAATAACCAAGTTAAGATGTGACACAGTGCCAAGGCACAGTGACAGTGGCATGCTTTGCTTATAATAAAAACAAAAATCCAATGGTGTCAGATAAACACAACTGTAAAATGAACCACAAGTGGACAAACTGAGCTTTCAGAAGAGTTTCTAATGAGAGGTGCTAGAGGCATAAGACATGTACTTAGTAAGGAAATATTCAAGGCATTAAGGGGGTCAAACAAAGATCCTACCATTTTCTCAAAGTCCTAGTTTAATTTTGGAAAGCTAAAGACAAGGTAAAAAGGCTCAATACCAGAGGGAGAAAAGACACCGTTCAAATGAATTTTAAACTTCTCACAATGCCCACAAGGTAAGTATAATGAATAGGCACAGAGCATAAAGTTCAAAAAAGACTATTTCTTTTAGGGGCAAAATCAGTTTGGCATGAATCGTCTTTTTTTTTTTTTTAAGAAATTCTGAAAACATTTAAAACCAGCAAAAGATTAAAGAACTTCTGAAAGCCAGCACAGTCCTCAAAAGTATCAAAAAAGATATCTCAGATAACAGATTGAATACGTTCCCTTTCAAATATTCTAGAGTATACACATTTCCAAAAAACTAATCCAATTTCACGTGGTTTTAAATGAATTAAAAACTCCATACAATCCAACTGCTTAAATAAGAATCTCTGTTCTTAAAAGTTGTTTAAAAATTACAGATACACAAACTGCTTAATATTAAATCATTTTTAGGGAGTCTTGTTACATATAATTCCTTTTGAGAAAAATCACCCTCTAACAACTTCCTGTAATCCAAGATTTTAGTATGCTCCGTTAACTACTTATTTTTATAAGTCTCTCTTAAGGAAACAAAAAAGACAAATCCCAGGAAAATATGCTAATATTAAGAATGTCTTCATTGTGATGGTTTTCCTCCTTTACAGATCACCCCCTAGAGCCCATCCTGGGATCCAGAGAGTACACTTTTTGTGCTGTCTCTGACTCCCACTGCCTTAGTGACAATACATGATGACACCAAGTGTTAGTAGCCATAACATTCTCCGCCACACATCCCCCTCCTCCCCATAGCAGCACTTCAAAATTCCAAATCAAAGATTCAACTGTGCACTAGAATGTACAGTATAGTCAGTATTTTTTTACCATGAGCATCAAATAAAATGAATTTCTGGTCAATCTCTGGCACTAGGAATTCAATTAATCAGATCATTCAAATCAAGTGTTTTAAACAAAAAGACACCTAGTAAAGCATTTCATAGCACCTTGGCATTATTTTAAATATGCAAAAGTTCACGTAATTAGTAAAACATTTTAAGCATTAAAAAAAGACATCAAGCATATCGTTCTTATTTATGAATCAGAAAACACTGACAGTATCTCAGTTTTCCTAATTTTCTTTCAGTTCTTCTAATGTGTTTTTCTTGGAAATATTTTGAGTTGGTTCTTAACACAAACATTTACATATACATACCAATTACAAATTTCCAGTTTTAAGGAATCAAGTTTAAATGACAAGACGTTACCAATATTCCTGCACAGAAGTTTTCTGCAAAAATCAAACTGTCTCAAACTTTCTTAAGCTCCTTTTAAAAAACAGTTAGAATACCTAGAATTTTCCGCATTGAAAAAATTTCACATAAAGAGAACAGATTTAGTAAATAACATTCTTAGATATTTCATGTAACTATATATAATTAGACAAAACCTTTTCAGTAATTTCTTAGAGTCCGAAAATCCAAATAAATTAAGAGAAAATGAATTACCCAACTTCACAGTAATCGTGAACCATTAAAACTTTAAATCCCATGTGGCCTATAACGACTATCAGTCATGAGTGAAAACAGACCACCGAGAAGCTGAGTAAATGGGGCCAATAAGATGCTCTGAGATTATTTATTCCCAAAGCTTCATTTTGATTTTCACTGACATGAACATCATCCTCTCCATCTATAAGTTGATATTCATATCATGCAAAAAGGTTGTGGTAGCTGAGAATAACTTCCAACGTGATTGCTCCATTAAGGGGAGCAGGGGGATGCAGCAGATATCCAACACCACCACCTCATGTGACTATGTCCATCAAACTCACAGCTAGGAGATTTCATCCTACTCTTGCCTTTTAAACGATTAAATAAAATTATAAACTTCAAATTTGCATGTGAAAAGGAGATTTAGTCCTTGCACATACATTTATTATTGGTGGCTTACTCCAAACATAGCATGGAGTAAGCCCAATACCCGTTGTAGTTTATTACAACACTTATAGATAACAACTAAGCAACCAAGGCCTTTATTTTAAACAAAGCGGGCGGGGGGGGGGGTAGGGAGTGTGGCCTCCAGAAGAATACTCTAGCACCAAATCAGTAATGAACACCTTTTCTTGACTTAGAAATCACTTTACAACAAGAGTACCATTGCACTGATACTCACTCCTGACAGGCAAGAACAACTACACTAACAGAAAGGAGCAACTCCTCCCTTAAAGAATTCTCTCAGCTGAACATTCCCTTATCTCTTTAAGTAATGCTTAATTTCTCACACTATAAAATGAAAACACTTGATAATGCACTTCAAGGTTTTCACTTTGTTATCTAATACTACACTCAAGTCATAAAGCTGTAACTGGATGGTACTCACCTTTTTACAGGGAGCAAACCAAGATGGTAAAGAGAAAAAGGAAACTATAGAAAGAAATAATCAATCGTGTAAGCCTAACTTGAGAGACTACGAAAAATAAAAACAGAAGAACAACCACTGTTTCACACACAAGCAAATCATTGTACTACAGGCATTTTTCACTATAGGCGGGCCACCTCTGGGATGTTTACATATAGACTAAGCCCTCATTTATCTTTGCTAAAAGTCAGTAATACAGAAAATTCAAAACAGATTATAATAATGCCTAAAAAATGTTATGACTTTGGCTACATTCATGTAAACTTCCTGAAGAAAATAAGAAACTGAGTTTTAAAGTATTTTAAGAATAGAGTTTCAGGGGGCCAGGGCAGTGGCACAGCAGTTAAGTTCGCATGTTACGCTTTGACAGCCCGGGGTTAGGCAGTTGGGATCCCAGGTGCGTGAGGACCTACACATTCCTTGTCAAGCCATGCTGTGGTAGGCGTCCCACATATAAAGTGGAGGAAGATGGGCACAGATGTTAGCTCAGGGCCAGTCTTCCTCAGCAAAATGAGGAGGATTGGCGGCAGATGTAAACTCAGGGCTAATCTTCCTCAAAAGAAGAAAAAAAATAGAGTTTCATAATTTAAATATAAAAAATAGTACAAACTGCAGGCTAACCAAAATACTACTCATTGCAAGCTAACTAAAGGTAAAGAAGTAGATCTCTTTGGCTTATTTAATAAACAGAAGGTTAAATTGTAGTTCGCGCAAAATATATGCATTGTATCAAACTACTACTAAACTTTTTTGAAAACTTTATCCAGTCAATTTTTTCCACTGAAATGTTACTTCATTCAATACTCAACAAATATTTATTGTAGATCTTAAATGGGCAAGGCAATGTGCTAACTGCACAGTACACATCAATGAATAAAATAGGTGTGGTGTCTACGCTTACAAAGCTGAAACCTAGAGCAGCAACAGAACATCAACATCATGATCTTCTTTATTCTGTGGCCTGGGCACTGCACTATGCACTTTGTAGGCTTGATCTCTTCATCTAAAAACAACCTACCTGCAAGGTAGGTGCTTCACATCCCAACTTCAGAGGTAAATAAAGCAAGGTTAGAGGGTTAAGTGCCTTGCCCGAGGTCATGAAAGCAGCAAGTGACAGAAGACACAAGCTGATGTCAAAATCAAGCTCTCGATCCATGTACTCTGTGATCCCTCATCTCAGTCCCAGAATAATATCTCAAATTCTGAATTAGCCATGTTCAAATTAATATGGATTTCCTGCCCTACACCCAGAAAAGTTTTTAATACAAGATTTACCTAATGTGAAAATGAATGCCCATTTCCTGAATGCCCATACACCATACATTCAGTAATACAACACTAAGCTAGGATTAAATAATTGTGGTGTATCATGCACAAATAATAACTAACTCGTGTGAATATATGTATATGTGCACAAAGAATGTATGTTAATAAAGTCTCCCATATATCTGCTAGCATTATCTATATAAAGGTCTCTAACAAAAAATGAAAAGATATAATTACTTATCCTCAATAAGTTTTCACTTCAAAGAAGGAAAAGCAGCTTTTAATTCACTTTGGAGAAACTCAATTTGGTGGAGAGAGGGCATTTTCAACGGTAAGTGGGACCTAAGCTGAAGATAATTTCTCTGAGCCCCTCTTTGTTGCACTGTGGAGATCAGCTTTTCGGGTAGGGTTATGGGTATGGACCAGGAATCAGAGAGAAATTCCAAATGTCCCTCTCCCAGCTGCTCACATTTGACAATGAAAGAAAGAGGGATAAACTATTGAATCTTGAATAACTTGGCCCCCACATTCACAGCAGTAATGGAGATGGGCCTTCTCCAAGTTAACTAGTGGTACCTACCCATCCTTAACTCTTCCACATTCATAATCAGCACTTAGAATGTATGCTGTTAGGGACATAAATGGTAGAATAGTACATTCATCCATGCAGAGCCATAAAACTACATCGAGCCCTAAAGAGTCAACTGAAAATACCATAATATCCCTAATGACATATCACCAACTCCAAGGAATCTCTAGACTAGGTTTAATTTTAATGACAACTTTTCCAGTTTTAATAAACCAAATAGGAGCCAAAATGAATCAATGGTATTTGCTTAAAATAATATTTGTAATAATTACCATTCAACCTGAAAATTCATTTCATATAACAGCTAAAGAATTAACAATTACGTAACTCTAAGAAACCAAAATCATATTTCTTTCCATTGCTTGAATGATAAGAACTCCCATGTAGAATACTAAAAGGAAGGCTTCAATTACTTATCTGTGAATGAAGAATTAGGTATAAACTACTATTAACAGCCCAAGAAGGAACTCCTTGGTGTTACATTAAATGAAAACTACTAATCTCAATGATCTTCCTGTTAAGTATTCTCAGAATCCATGATTATTTCTAGATAGCAAATTAACTCTATTATGCATAAGTCCTGAATTTCTATAAAAATGGAAGTTTATTGTTTTTTAGTAAAAGCAAAAAAAAAAAATCTTTCTTTTAGGACAAAAAGTGAATGGCTTCCTCCACATGAATCCTATTTAGTGTTCTCCAAAGAGGACTGACATCCAGTAATGCCCGAGTTGTCTGTCCAATTAGAACCTAAGATCACTGAGGGAAAGAACTGTATCTTACATTCTTCAGTCCCCCTTATGGTGCTGCGCTCAACAAAGAACACAAGGTAGGCCTTCAATAAGTGTATGTCGAAGGCACTGATTACAACCCAAAACATTACTAATTGCACTCTGGGATATAATGCTCCTTGGTAATACTGACTCATTCAGGAAGAAAACTCTTAAAGCAAACTAAGTCACACAGTGACCTAGAAAAGCTATGGGAGCACAGCACATTCAGAAAGGGGTGAAGGTGTTATACAAGGCTCTTTCGGATGCATATCCTGGAGATCTGCTCAAGCTGGCCCAAGAAAAGCGGCCTTTACTGAGAGGACACAGGATAACCTAAGAGTCCAATGGGAAAAAGCACCAGTACGGCAGGCCTAAGGAGAGCGCGAGGAGGAGTGCACTCTCTCGCTCCCTTTGGCCCGTCTACTGCTCTCTGCGCAGTTGCTCCAATCCTCTGCTTTTCCTGGCTTCCTGTCTTATCACACCAGCATGCCTACAACTTGTTTATCTGCCCCAACTCTCCACACTGAGGCAATTCTTGATTCATCCTTTCAGCTTTGCCCTCTCTGCTAACTGCTTCAGTCCCTCAGTTAATCTTTTCAAGCCAGGCCACAAAAATTATAGATTGCCATTCCATATTACCATTCTTTCAAAAACCTAAAGATTTTGCCAGCTACTTAAGTATTTAGTTCAGAAGCCTAAGGTGCAAAGCTGCCTTATTTAATCGGTGATCTCTCTTCCTTCCTGCTTCCAAACATATACTATTCATAATTCCACCTTACCTGTCGTGTTCTCTTGAGTTCCTGCTTTTGACTATTTGTTCCAGAGATACTTTTGTCTTTGTAGTCAAACAAACCCAGGTAAACACGCCCAATCACATGAACACTTCCTAAGAGAATGAAAGCTTCCAGATGGAACATATAATTCACTGCCCTTGAAAATGCTACTTTCAAAAACCTCAGTGCTGCCAGGAACTCAATTATTTATATCGTAATTTACACCATAGCATCCACTTACCCCAGTGAAAGTGTGGTCTCTAAATATATCTACCAATGTAGAATGGTACTGGCCTTATATGTCTTTTGATGGTTAAACATTAATAAAGTGGAAGCCAGTGGATCCCATCCCCATAGATAAGATGACTGCATAACCTTTTATCCAAACAGGGACACATCTTAGAGTGAAAGGGGACGCTGTTTAATAGTTTGCCAGAACTACAGATGTAAACCCGCACACAGGGACAGCTATGTTCCATATCATGGACTCAGATTCTATAGGATGTAGTAGTAGAGCCTAGAAGACAATGCAAGTCCCCATATAAAATCCAAAGACTCTTCTTATCTCATACAGAACTGGTTCATGAAATGTTACCCAGGGTCCTCAGTTCAACAACTGGGCATCATGCTAGTCTTGGTAACTGGTCATAAATGTCTCCTTATACCCACTTCTCAATTTCTTAGTTTCTGTTGTAACTAACGTTATCTTACTTAATATATACCATAAAGGGCATTCATCCAGTTCTTTTTATAGTCCCCAAATATACCTTATACTCAAAAACTCATATAGTAAAACAATTAATTCTAATTTACAGTGCAAACAAACACATATCTCAGTTACAACCCCATACCAAAAAAACCAACAAGATAAAATACATAATTAATCAACAACATTTCAAGGCTATTGGGTTTTTGTTTCCCATTGCCCCACTTGCCACGCATGGTATTTGCTATGGGCAAAACCAACTCCAATTTCTTCCTTTTAAAATCTTGCAGAGAAACAAAGCATATTTCCTTCTGCTCACCTTTTCCCCTTACAGCTTGGGTAGGCTAAAGGAAACAAAATCTGTGATTATTCTCACCTACTAGGTTATCTTTTCATAAGTAGTACTGAGAACCAAGGAAAGAAGAGAAAGTAGGTATCCAGACAACAACTGCATTCCTTCCAGGGGCAAATATTTCATCATCTGTTATTCTTCTACAACTGTGAGTGTGTACTGAATACAGAACTCAAACGAAAACATAAGACATAGCAGTGTCTGACTTAGAAAAAGGTATCTAAACATATTACACTCCCTCTACACTGTTTTTGCAGACAGCTTTAATGTTTTATACTAGACCAACAGTGACAACAGAAGCTTCAGCTTTTATTGCTGTTAATATCCTGCGCAATTACTGTAACTCAGCAGGAACCTCTGCCCCAAACAGCAACTATCACATTGCAATCAGTATTTCATAAGAGACACTGTTCAAACATGAAGGAACCTGCTAACGTGAAAAAATTGTACAAAAAGGGCTCAGAATCTAATCCGTAAAAGAAAAATCTTTGCAATTTTATTTCACAGCTCTATCTTTTCCATGCTGCATTCATATTACATTTGGTAAAAATCACACACAAAGACAATGAGCAGGGACAGAGCAGTAGCAGCAGTCACAAGCAAAAAGAAGACTCTTCAGGAAACAAGGCCACCACCCAGATTTTCAGATGTCAGGGCAGCATCTGTAAAAACTCTTTGGAAGGAAACATATAATAAATAGCAAAGACCTCTAAAATGGTAAAACTTCATGTTGACATAAAATCTGAATAGAAAGCATTTGATTTACAACATTAAACTGCAAAGCCATCTTGCAAAACAACCAGGAAAGTTAAAAGCAGCCTACCAAGAATAAATAAATCTTAGAAGTAAATGGCACATTTGACTTTCTTTTAAAACAGTAAGCATGTATTACTTATGAATGACATTTTAATAAGAAAAAATAAAGGGCATGCAATTTTTTAGATAACTAGCTAAATCAAACTATACTAATTGAATATTTGGTGTCATTAAAAATAATAAAAAGAAAACAAAGCAGATGCCAAGTTAAAGATCTCTTCAGACTACATTCCTTTAGACTGAAATATCACATACAACGTGTGTCAGAACACAAATAGTGTCAAAAGTTAGAAAGGCTTTTGGAAACAAGGGCATTCACTGATACCGATACATATCTCTACAGAGCTAAAGATTAGGATTTCTCTACACCTAAGAGTGTAGACAGTGCTTCACAATCAAGTATAAGCATCCCCTTTTTAAGAGCTAAACATTTCAAAAAGATCCCCAAATGACAGTACTTCGACAGTATTTCACGTACCAACTGTTTGAGGAAAATAAACAGTGATTCTTAACTGTGTATTGTCATTAAATACGTGAATTTTTTAAATCACAGCAGCATATTAGTACATTTTAAAAGTAGTCATACAGACATGTGTGAGGTATATTTATTTATTTAAGGCTGAGAATGTTTATTTGCAGACCTTTGCGAAATCTCTATAGAAAGCCAAACATCCAAAACCCCAAGTGTGGGAACCACTGGTCTAAAATCAAGAGATTTCATACTGGGCAATATCAACACTTATGTCCTGGGAAAAGTTTTTAATGAGAAAGTACTGTAGCTGCACCATCCCTGAGCCAGACTTCCTTTCTCAAACCTCTACCACTAGGAGATCCCCCCCATAAAAGGTTACAGATACACTCCATACTCACTCAAATATCTAAGTAAATTATAGTTACCACCGAGAACTAGTCTCTGGCCCATTTACACCCTTTTTTTTCCAACTCATCATCAAATTCCAAATTTATTTTACTTCAGGCTCTTTATAATAGCTGAGAAGAAACAAACTACTTCAGAAACTTAAGAGAATCTCTGAAATTGTTATCAAAACAGTTACTAAAGGAATGAAAAACTTCAGAAATATTGTTTACAGTATAAGCTTTATTAACACTTAGTGTTACAAAACTGAAAAGACAAAACTGATAACTGCTTTATTTGAGTGCTACAGCCACCAGGCAGTTAGCACTCAGCAGGTGAACTGGTTATCAAGTCAACACAATGGAAAAGCAATCAAAAGCGACAGCCAATGGAACTGGAAAAAAAGAGAAGGTACAGAGTAGAATCAACAGCATATGAAAAAGTGCTTACCAGTTTGAAGTCTTGAATGCTACAGATGAAATACGGCGTGTTTGGCCTCCGACTCTCGATATACACACAGTCTTTAAAAGAAAAAGAAATTTTAAAACAATGGCAGTAACAGTTAAGGGAACAATGACAGGGCCCATAAAGCCACTGCATAAATAAATGACAAAGTACGCATCTTTCATAGAAAAAATTTTTTCAAAGGTAATATAAATTACAACTAATTTTAAGCTAAAGGAAAACAGCCCTGGGATTCTTTTTGACCACTTTTCTGATAAAGAACTTGATATAGCCTCAATTATTGTTTTCAGGGTTCCTGAAGAAGAGGGGAGGGGGGAATTCCATGGGATTATCCATATTCAAATGAAGAAATTAGAAAAAAGGGAATTTACTTGCTCAAGGTTACACAAAAAATCTTGACATATCTTATTCAGAGAGTTGTTCCCATGTCTTCACAAAGAGAAATGGCTTTGCCAAGTTCTACTTTATTTTCAATAAATATTTTGTGATGAAATAAATGAAATATGTAAAGAAGACTGGCCTGAACATGCTATTACTATAACCTTTTCACCCAAACCACGAAAGAGAAAGAAAACTAATCTAATCTCTTGTGGATAACTTGCTATTAAATTTTAACCTAAACGTATTTTACTTTCTAATCATAAAGAAAACTAAGGCAGTCAATCAGAGATGGAATGGAGTAAACCAAATTACATTTTCCTCAGGGAAGAAGCGAGTCTTCTTAAGTTACATTTGACGTGGCCATGGTTGGGTAATTATTTTTGATGCTCTCAACAGCTGGAATCTAAAGGGTTGCCTTTTAAAATGGCAGGTTAAGATACTTTCTTTTCTTTTTAAAGAAGCAACAATTTTAAGGGAAGTTGTGACTATAAAGGGACATAAAAACTCTCCACATTACAACCCAAGATCATCATAAAGCATAGCACAGGAAATCTATGTTTTATTTACTGAGAAGTAAAGGCATCTGCAGTCAATCAGATTTTCTAGGGAGTGACCATAATGCCCATATTCAAAATGCCATTTGTTTTATCCTTCCTCATGACCCTTCATAATGAATGTGTCTTGGAATAAGTCAGATGCTTGAGAACAGAGGCAGATTCTTCTACTGCCTCATTTCATGCATGTTAAGAGCCAAGAAAAACCAAAGGAACAGAGATTTGGAGTCATCCATCCAATGGACAGTCCAGTCCCACCACAAGTACTAGCAGACCCACTAAGGGAGATCATGAAGAAAGACCTCACTAAAGGGCACTTCATTTTAAGAAACTTCCTGAAAGACAGGAATTTTGCAGCCCAAAGTAATTCCAGAAAAAGAAGAAAGCTGAAAACCAATCATTCAGACATCCAGAATTTCCCAACTGATTTCTCTGTTCAGATGAAGACTCACAACAGAGATTCAATCCCTGAACCCATATAAAACAGCAGCTCAGGAATAAGTGTTGACTGAGCTTTCTATCTTGTTCCAGAGTCCAGGATACTAAATAACTGTTCAACCTTTAGGCAACATCCTTTTAACACACTAACCGCCTGAAGGGACAAACGGAGAACCTTTCCCACTGAGGCAGATATTTCTCTTCCTACCACCAATTTGCTATTCAAGTAAAAACAGAAGACACCCATTCCCTAAATAAAAACTTGCAAAGTTTTGGGACAATTCAAGGTTCTTAATTTCCATATTCCAATCCCTGTTGTACCTACTACCGGTATTTCAAATCTCTAGATATCAATTATTTACTCATCTCTCTCAACCTGAACACAAATCAGTCTACATGCTCTATTCTTCCTATCACCTCCTACAGAAAGAAATATTTTCTATATCTCCTAACATAACACTGTCATACTTAGCTATTATTTACTGGCTTCAAAACTAACAGGTCACTTCCATGGGGGCCAGCCTAGTGGCATAGTGATTAGGTTCACACACTCCGCTTTGGCAGCCCAGGGTTCACAGGTTCAGATCCCAAGCATGGACCTACACGTTGCTCATCAAGCCATGCTGTGGGAGTGTCCCATGTACAAAAAAACAGAGGAAGACTGGCACAGATGTGAGCTCAGGAACAATCTTCTACAAGCAAAAAGAGGAAAATTGGTAAAAGATGTCAGCTCAGAGCCAATCTTCCTCACCACCCCTCCCCTAAAAAGAACCCAAAAAACTAGGTCACTTCCTAACTAATGACTTCTACTTTCCCAAAGCTCACATGATAAAACCTTGCAGCATTCAGTGGTCTTCTCCCACACCACATCTCATCCTCTCCTAGGCCGCATTCTCCAAAAGAAAGACCTTGTCCATGCCAAACTCTCTTTATTCCCTGATTCCAACAGTGCTTGCAACCTTATAATGAGTTACCTCCAGCAGCAGTAAATTCTCATGGTTCCTCTGTAAAAAAACAGCAATACCTCCTTTCTTTTATTAAAATTGACAATTTACGTTCCCTGTTTGTTCAGTTACTTGGCAGTCAGATGGTCTGCACTGTCCACATTACTATCAATCTTTTGAGTTCAGAGAAACTTATTCACTTCTGCATTCCTGCACCCGCCAAAGACTAATGTCTGGCATCAGTGTTGGTAAAACTAGACAGAATTGAAGTAAATGACAGATACTAGATAGTGAGGACTATGTACAACTTTGATTTTTTTTACACAAATATACTTACATCACTTTTCATAATCAATAAAATCATTATTACTATACACTCTCTTACTCTAAGACATAAAGCAGCCATTAACTTGTTTATAAAAATGCTTTCCAGAAAAGGGGAAAGAAGCTACATTCTTTCACTTCTCACTGCAAAGTTACATTCAGGAAAATGATTATCTGTAAATACACCCAGGTGTAACTCTTAGATTTAAGAGGAAAGGAATATGCTGGTATGTCAAGGATGACCACTGACATCCCTTTGCCTAATCACTTCTCAGCAGTCTTACTGGAGGCTGCCTGGGAGCCCTGGCCTGAGGAAAGAATGCTGCCATGAGGGAAAAGGCAATGTGAGACAGCAGATCCTTAAACATGACATACGGAATTACCACATTTACTTATTAATGCCTTTTACCAGATAAAACGTCACCTCTTTCTGTTTAAAAGGTTACCATGGCAACCCAAACTGATCCAAAGCTATAAATTCATATATGAGATTCCAATGCACAAGGTGATCTGTAAAACAGGTCACTGTGTCAAGTGATCTCTAATATCAGTATTTTGAAACTTAGAAAAGTCAGATAAGCTCACTTCAAAATTAAGTGAGAAAAGAGTTTATTTTACATAAATAGTCATAAATATAGGATGGTTAAAATCAGGGGTAATATGAATTAAAATTTTTCACACCGTGTCAAACTTGCCATAGGAATGGGGAAAAATACATCGTTTGATCTGACTTTTCCAATTCATTTTAAAAATAAAAGCATAAAAAAATTACTGTAGAATCAAACTTTTCTTTATAACCCTCCCATAAAAATTAGGCCGATCCAACTAAGAGAATAGATTTTAAGAAGCAATTTTGAATTTAAATCTCACAGAAATAAAAAAACTACTTATTATTACTCTTAATGATTTTCAAAACAAGGTTAAATAAGACCAAACACTCATAAGAAGGATTTCCCTCTTGTCTTATTAAGTAAGCTAGTTAAGAAAATAGATAGATGTTTATAGTTAGTACAAAAATAAAGTGTTTTATTTAGAAAGGGAAAGATGAGAATATAAGTCAAGAGCAATGTTAAAATCTCAGCTGGAATATATGCCCAGGAATCTTCTAAAGCCAAAAAGATTTGCCAAGAATTTTCATGCAATTTATGAGTGCTTGGATTGTCTGAAGCTGGTTATAAAATTAGTTTCAGTCAGCTGGATCAATGATCCTAAACCTGAAAATCCCCCATGGCAAACATAGGCACTGCAGACACCTCTTTTTTTTTGTTTTTTTTTTTTTAAGAAAAAGAGCCTTTTTTTATTAGAAGGCTAGCAGTTCTGAAAGAACTGAGCAAAGCTGATATGATCCATTAAGTGCATAATGCATATTTTCAAAATTACCCATATGAAAATGCATATTTACCAGATTGAGCAAATGGCTGCTGGAGGGCAAATTATATATTTTTTTAATCTTAAGATCAGCAAGCCTGAAAAGGGCCAGAAATATGAGTGAAGCTATTACCATCGATATCAATTATTCCAAAGAACACATGATAACTAATTTTTTCTGTACAAGGGGCATCTGGAATGAAACCATGGATCTACATTAAGATTTATTCTCTAACACATTGCCTCTGCCTGGGAATGGATCACACGATTAAGTGACCTCGAAGCATGTATCAATGATTTGGGCAAAGATATTGAATGGGGCGTTTCTGGCAGTTTCTCACAACCTCAGCATAGCTTTGTGCCCAAGAATCTACTGTGCCATCTGCAAACAACAGAGCATTTGCTAGGCTGGGGGAGGAAGTCAGCCAAAATACGAAGACAGATTCTTAAAGCAAAGAAAGCCCTCTGCTTTTTCAACCCTCAGCAAATCAGCAGGTTTATGTAAATAGAACGAGAGCACAGTTCTCTCAAGGGTAAAAACCACAGCCTGAAGCATCAGGCAGTTTGTCATCCTGAAACACAAAGAACCTGTCAGCATCTTTCCTGATAGCCTCCTCACAGAGCACAGTGGACACTTATTTCACCCACTAATTGAGCAAGCAGCACTGTGAGCCCAATATTAAAGCTGTGGTCAGGGAAAGCTCAGCCACAGTGCTCCATCCTTTAAAGAATTTCCCTCTCCATTAACGAGTTTCTGCCTATTAATCTTTGAAATACCTTCTCGTCCCTTTGCAATGCATGGCAATGCCACTCTAACATAATTCCCAATAGACAACCTTCTACTTGTAAAGAGCATGCACCAACAAAGACTTTCTCACAAACAAATTTCCCAGAGACCCAGCTGGGTGGCAGAATGATGGACATGGAGTCTGACCCTCAGGACTGCTCTACTCTTCACCTTTCCATTCTCTTACACAGGATTACTCAACCCTCGCAACTCTGAACTATTCAATGAAGTAACAGAAGGTTTGGTCTAATATCACAGAA